AGAATTAACAGTATTTGATTCTTGTCACTCAAACTTTTTTTCTACTATTAGATTTATCTTACATTCGATGCAATTAATTTTTTTAATTCATTAATAAGCTAGGTATCCCGAAAAATATGTTACAGAATCCTCTAACGTAATAAATGAACGTAATTCATTAATTTTTTTCGTGTTATATTTTTCCGATATGATTTTTGTGGGTGAAGAAAACGAAGACGAGGATGCTGTGTCCAAACACGATTCTGACCCTTCATAGTTTTGTCAGGTGTAATAACATCTTGCACTAAGGCAGGATTGTCTATGTTTTGACTACTTTCACAGTTGCTACTTTTTTGAAGTAATTAAGGAAAACACGCATGTATATCTAAATGAAATTTTGATTGTTCTCGCCGTAGGATTTTTATTTATTTTTTAATTTAAAGCTACCAATATAAAATTATTACAGCTCAACAGTTACAATTAAATATATATTAACAAATAAAAATACAAGGTAAATAAACAATAAAAATACATACTGAAAAGACAAAAAAAAAAAGGAAACAATCAGTGATTAAAAAATTAAAAAGTTATAACTAGTACGATTAAAACTGAAACCTACGAAAACAAAAATAAACAATTGAATAAACGGTTAAGTATATTTAACCTAATAAAATTAAAATACGAATCCAGCAGTTTCGAAAAATTTCAATATAATAATAATACAAGCTCTTGAAAAGGAATTAAGAATAATTGTTGGTTATAATGACATAATATTGTTATTATGTAAAAAACGAAGTAAATTAGATCGGGAACTAGAGAGCGATGAGTAATCGATGAAAATGTGAGAAAAGTCGCAAATTGTTTCTTTTACATGACGAGTGCACAAAGGATTTTTATTATATCCGCCTTTTTGTCGGAAAATTGAAAAAAGTTTTTCTAGTGTACTTATCCTGATTTAATCTATTTTTAAATAGGAACTGTATATTATTATTGTTTTTTCGATTCATCGTCAAAAAAATTCGTTTATAGTTTGAGTGAATCCGCTAAAGCAGGGTGGGCGAGTTATTTTGCCTTTAATATTAATTTTGTAAAGATCATTGAAATCATTTTTTGAATTTTCTAGAAATGGTTTAACTACACCTGAATTGGTTAATGAACAATTATATGGATTGTCAATGAATAAATTTCTTCTGTTTAGACAATCAAATAGATTATTCATAAAATCTATAAAATCTGCTGTATCGGCTGCAGTTTTATTTTTTTAATTCGGTTGTAGATATATATGTTCGTAAAGCAGATGCCATTGAGTGGCTAAAAATTTGAGTAGCCAATTTAACGCTCATTTTTTGGAATGAGTTTGGATGTATATGAGCCTCTGTTATTTTAAGTAGAGCATTACTTTTTTTTTTTTTTTTTGTCAATGTTATCTTGCTATGAGATCGTTAAAAGATATTATTTTTTCATTTTTTTTTCAAAAATGTTCATAAAACTTGCATAAATAATATTTACGTAAAATATACCTGAATTAATTTTCCACATTTCTAATCTACTATCTTTTGGAAAGCGGTAAAATTTTAAATTTGGAAATTTACTGGAGGATTTACCGCAATTAAAATATTGGCACATACTACCAGGCATTATAAAAACTTAAAATTTAAATTTAATTTAATTATAAGAAATGTAACAAGTCACAGGTGAACAGTGGCGTAGTTAGTGGTTAGTGGTTAGTGGCGTGATTTTCAAACCCTAAGCAAATTATACAATAACCTACCAACTACCCTCTCCAGCGCTGGCGGGAGGTTTTGCGGGGCCCGGGGCAGATTTTTTTCGTGGGCCAAGAATTTTTTTTTTCTTAATGCAAAAAAAATTTTCTGGCACGCCCTAATACTTAGGTACTCTTAGGTACTTAAGAAATTTTTTTCAGTTTTACATAACTTACCTAAAAATATTTTTTTTATATACACAATTAAACAAGTATTTTAGTATTAAACGTACACTCTTTAATATGTATTTATTTCTTAAATCATTAAACTAGTCATATTATTGGATACATTTTTCATATTAAAATAAAATATGTTCAAATTAAATGTTTAAGTACTAAGTACAATAAATACAAGTTTTACACAAAATTAAAAAAAAATTTAAGATTTTTACATCATTATATCAAAATTGTTTTTTTTCTAGCCTTGGCTGCCGCAAAAATTTCGATCAACTCATTAAAATCTAATGAGTCAGTAACTTCTTATTCAATTGATAGAGTAGCTAAGCTTGTTAGTTTACACTGCGATAAAGTACTCCTTAAGTAGTTTTTAATTATTTTCAATTTGGAAAAACTCCTTTCCGCACTAGCAGATGTTACTGGAATTGAGAGTATTCGGAATGCAATCGAAATATTTGAAAAACAACCACAACATTTTTTTAGTACTGAAGGAGCCTGAAAATCTGTGGTTTCTTCAGAAATTATAGTACAAAAAATAAGCAATTCTTCATAAAATTCATAACCATCTATATCTTTTAATTCACCATCAATTAGATGGTTTTGTAGATCATGGCAACAATTTCTTAACTCTTCTTTTTCCATTAATTTTATTTTGCTAATCCGATTTAAAAATTCAAAGTTATTATTAAAAAATTAAAGCTGTGAAAGCTCATGAAGACATGAGATATTATTTTTTTTCCCACTTTTATCCTTACGCAACACTATTGTCATTTCAGATCCATGGTAATTTGAAGCGAAATGGACGGTTTTTGTATCTTTCCACTTATAGACGCCAATACCTAAATCTGATATGCGGTAGTCATATGTTCCTCGAACAGATTTTGTATCATCAGCTAATGTTGGTAATCCTTTTCGATTTGGTCGAATAGTGCCACAAGCTAAACTACCTTCGATTTTTAGTTTTTCCAAGAGAGGAATAGACGTGAAATAATTGTCAAAAAAAAAGCACCTATTTTTATTCCACTCGTTTTTGGACAGTTGGAGCACGACTCTTTCTCCGAGACCAAAATTTTTTGAACTCTTTAGACACTTGTTCTTTTTTACCTTGATATATTTGGAAATTTTTAATATAGCCTTTTTGGTCGGCCAAACACCAAATTTTGTAACCACGTTTTATTGGTTTCATGGGGTTATATTGCTTCATCGTACTTCTTCCTTTAAAAATTATCATGGACTCGTCTATTGATAGTTCCCTTGTACCAAAATATGACTTTGAAAACTTTTCGGTACAGCAATCAATCAATGGTTTAAGTTTAAAAAGTTTATCTTTATTATTAGGATGAATCAACATGTTGTCCTGTATATGGAGATTAGATTATATAATGTCGAACCTATTACGTGACATTGTACTAGATATTAATTGGATACCGAGATCTGAAGCATTTGACCAGTAGTTCTTCCAACTAGGTAATTTATGGTACCCCATAAAAAAATTAATTCCTATAAAATTTAACATTTCGTGCCGTTTAATGTTCAGTAGGGTGGTCCTTATTTTTAAATATTTAAATTTTTGTGACCGATCCCCCTAATTAGGTGCCAATGGGTATAAAAATGACGCATACAAAATTTGAGCATAATCGGATAAGTTTAACCCGTGCCCCAAAGCTCTCAAAAGTTGTACGTTGTTAATATTTTTAAAAATTGAGTAATTCATAAAATTAACGAAAAATTAAATAATAAATACATATTTTGTAAGGACAAACAAATTTTAATTTTATAAACAATTTATAATAATTAATACATTTTTAATAAATGGCTACCAATATTTTATTTTTCTTGCATATATTATAATTTTTCCATAAGAGTGCTTTTGTTTGAATTTGAATACTGTTGCCTGTATTCCGCGACAACTTGAAGAATATACTGCTTCTGTTCTTCATTTTTTGGACCAATTTTGTTAAAATCTTCAATCAATTTAACAGCTCGTTCAGCAGTATCATTTACAATTTTTAATTTGCTGATAATTTCTTTACCCCGTTTGTATTCTAAATTGTTCTCCCAAGTTGATGGCGATGTTTCAATAAAGTTATAATTTATATTGAACCTTTTAAAAAAATTTAAAGTTTTATCTGAAATAAATGATTCAATCGTATTATTTATAAAACTTGTTATTTCATTTAATTTTACATATAATCGTTTTTCTACATTAATTGAGTCTCCATCTACATTATTATCTTTTTTTAAAGCTTGAACCATTTTAATTTTTGTATCGTCAGAAATTTCATCATCGAAAAATGCAAATCCAACTGACTCTGGAGACAAATACCATAGATGATTGATAAATTTTTTTAGTGTAACTTCAGATAAATTTTCATCTATTGTTTTATAATCATAAAGATCACGCAAAAATTGTAAGTCTTGGCGTGGTGCAACACAAGCATTTGGTGCATTAAACCACGCTTTAACATAGCAAAGAACAATAAAAATACAAATATCACGAACTGAATTGTATTCTCTTTTGTTTAATTTATATTCTTGACGGAGTATAAATATTTTTAAACAATAAATTGCCTTCGACATCCAGCGAGCATGATGAATTGCTCCTGGAACTCGAAAAAAGATATGACGAGCAGGAGTACCATTTAAAAAGATAACAGTTAGTTCAAGAAATTCTCGGTAATCTTCCCTACATTGAATTTTAGTTAATTCAGACATGCAAAATTTTAAAATACATTCAGTCGAATTATTTAAATGTTGACTAACTTTAGTGTCTTGAAGTCCAGGTTTGAAGTTGTTGAGATTAAGTTTTTGCCACGCTAGTTGAAACCGTTGAAATAAAGGAACATTTGGTCCAAATGTTGAACCGAATTTATGATCAAAAACACTTCTCAAAATTATCTCATAAATGTGATGACGACAGGATAAATATAATTAACTTCTTTCCAACCATTGTTCAAGTAATATACATGTACCGCCGATTCGGCCTAAAGTATAAACATTTAAATGCTTGAATTATTACAAATAAATATAAAAATTATATAAAAATAAATATTTTATTATAAAATTGTATGTTTTTATACTAACTAATCCGTGTTTGTCGCAGTCGTATCAAAACATATTGCTTTTACGTGATCCATTAATCCCCACTCAGATAAGTGTTGGTAAATAGCTTCTGCTTGAGCTTTTGAAGTGCCTTGTAATAATTTAGGTACACCTAATAGTTGTTCACTGTCATTATTAGTTATAACAATTGGCAATCTATCAACAGTTTGTTTTCCAGTTAAATCAAGGAGCAATTTACCATCCCAGTGTAAGACTATTGCATTTAATTCAGATGTTGAAAACTTTTTACGAATATTGTTTGCTAAAACCATACGCGATTGCTCGCGATATCGTTTTATGGAAGATCTGTTCACAACTAAATCACTAACTTCAACTTTAAGTGCTTCTGCTACTGCAATTATTATGTGAACTGCATCTCTGTCACTAATTTTACAACGGTCAAGGGCTGAAGATAATTTTGCTGTCATGATTTCTAATCTACCTCGTGTTTTATTAGTGACGGTGAGTTGAGTTTGTGAAGTATCTATTATATTAGATTTATATTCTGTAGAAGACACTGGTAAACAGTCAATTTCACTAGTACTTGCAACTTCGTCGGAAAAATCGTCATCACTGAAATCAATAGATTCTACAAAATAAAGTAAAAAAAAAAAAAATGATTTAATAATTTATTAAAAATAAAGGTATGATTAAAGAAAATAACGAACTTACGTTTATTAAAAGTAGCAGCACATTGTTCATAATGACGTTTTTTTCTAGCATTTAGTTTCTCTTGTCTTTCTTCTTTATCTTTAACTTTTCTCATAAATGCATAATCTACACCAGATAAATAACCAGGCCTTCCTTTTTGGCGTTGTAATGTCAAAAAAATTTTATCATCCTCCAAACTTATCATCTGCATAGAATTGGCATGAGCTATATCAAATAAATCTTCTAATTGATCTTTAAACTGTTTTTCCTTATTTATTTGGTTTTCATTTTTTCTTGTTGCATGTTTCTGTAAATTTCTCCATTCATTATACATTTTTTCTAATTTTTCAATACAACGTTGAAAATCTCTAGTTGGTATTTGCGCTTTTTCCCAAAATATCATTGTTTCTTTTAAAACTAAAGAGGAACTCTGTCTCAAATTAAGCTTCACTTATCTAAGATTATAAAATAAAACCTTTAACACTTGCATATTGGATGGTAACTTACTGCCTATAATTTGATTTGCATCGTCTCCGATTAAATATATTTTCGTCTGATCACGAAGTTCGTATAGTAGTGACATTATAATATCTATTTTATAAATGAACTATGCAGTAACAACACCAGTGACTTTGCAATAACTAATGATAAATACGAATATTCATGGTCGTCACAATTATGATTCAAATAATCACATTAGATATCAAAAGGCATTAAGATAAAAACAGACTATGTACGATTATAATATGAACTGTATCGGTGAGGTATTTTTATATTTACAGTCATGTCTACGGTTTATTATGTTAGTAACTTTAAGGGCTTTGGGGCACGGGTTAAAATTATCCGATTATATTCAAATTTTGTATTCTTCAATTTTATACATATTGGAACCTTTTTGGAGGCATCGATTATAATCGACTAAAATGAGATAATTGCAGATGCATCTTCTGATCTTCAACTAAAACGACATTAGATAATGAAAATGAATATTTCAAATTGTATAGATTGTTAATGCCTTTTAAAAGTTAAATTAAATAAAAATAATTTTCAGTTTGGCGCCCCTTCCGTGCTGGCACCCTGGACAGTCGCCCAGGTCGCCCATAGCTTTCGCCGGCCCTGCTTAATTGTGTTCGATAGCGCAGTGTACACTGTTGACTGCGTTATTATTTCTACATTGTACGATTACGACAACAGTATATTGACTGTTACAGTATATTGAATTTAATTATTAATTATTACAACCATTTATTTAAGAATTGGAAGAAATAATAGAAAATTGGTTAAATGACAGTGATGCGGAAGTAAATATTTACAAATAATTTTATTTTGGTAATTTTTAACTAACAGATTTATTTTATTTATAAATAAGAATTTGATGATTCGGACAAAGATCGTAATTGGACTGATGGTGAAAATGACAATGATATCAGTGAAGAGATTGAAGTTGAACATTTTGATAACGAAAGAACTGAATTTGAAAATAATATTCAAAATGAAGCTACAACACTAACTTGGGGACCACTTATAAGTAATTTTAATAATATACAATATAATCCTCATAATTTGGAAGTTGGTATAAATCCAGACATTATGGAAATAATGACGGATTGTTTACCCATTGATTTTTACGGTTTATTTTTTGATCAAGAAATTTTAGACTTTTTAATAATAGAAACAAACCGATATGCCTCGCAATCTCTTCGTAATTGTAGATTGAATGCAAATTCTCGATTAAAAAAATGGATCCCGATTGATCGTACCGAAATAAGGATTTTTCTGGGCCTTGTCATGTGGATGGGATTGGTAAATATGCCCAATTTAGTTGATTATTGGCGGAAAGATATATTGTATACGAATAAAGTTGCTGAAATAATGAGTAGAAATAGATTTGAGTTAATTTTAAGTATGTTTCATTGATCGAACAACGAAAAACCTAAACATGGAAGGTTAGATAAAATACAAAAATTGGTGGTACAAATCTTGCAGACCGAAACCTTTTTTTTTAGTGGGGAGGTGTTATGGGCTACCACATATTCCTAGAAACATATATAAATAGAATTGTGCGTAACACAATATCACAGGTGTTACACACCTATATTTGATTTTAACCATTTTGATTTTGGCCATAAACCAGTAATATATATTAAAAGATGTAATCTTAGAATAATGAAGTAGGTCAAACGAACATGGCCTATTGCTAAATAAGGAATAATACCGAAACAACAAGTCCCATGACGTCAATCGAGCCATATAAAAGAGGGATCAAAATGACCACAATTCAAATGAGTTCTAGTCACGGAACAACACAAGCAACTTCACGTCACTCTGTATCAGAATTTTTGTTAACACTTTGAGTTATAAAATAAATGTATTAAACGTATTAAAAATCTCATGTTTATTAAAATTAAATACATCTTCGACTGCAATACTTGAAATCGAGCCGGTGGCACGTAACAAGTCACTCTGTTCGTGTCCGTCAATGTGTACACATTAAATAAGTGTTTTCAAAAGTTTTCGTTATCGTTCCCGTTTACAGCCATCTTATTTAAAACCACGTTTCTTCTTGTTTTTGTATTTTATCTGCCGTCTAGCAAGTGGCGTTCAGTAACTTATAGTTACTAGTATTTTTAAGTATACATTGTTTTAAATTGATCACTTTCCAGTTTTGTGAATAGCGTGGTTTTTCATCGTCGTTTCATATTGTGTTATGATGGGATTTGTGAGTTTTTCGTCAAGAACTGACGGCATATGAGTGTGTGTGTGCGGGGTCAATTTGTACTTTTTATTGTATTAGTTTTATTAATTACCGTCCCCGGTACACCTCATGTGTCACCGTTTTACGTGAGTATTGGTCGACCATATTTTTGTTAAGTGGTTTATTTTTAGTAACGATCGACGGACCCATAGATTGCTTGATATTTATATTAATTATGTGCCGTGTGGTCCAAACATTATTATAATGTAGGTCCTTACGACTCTTACAGATATATACAATGTAGGTCATTGCATGGGAGCATCACATAATACAGCGGGTAATATAATATAATACATGCAGGTGTAAATAACACGAGGGTGCGTCGTCTTTTAAGAAATACCAGAATCAGTTAAGAAATGGATAATCCGATAGCAATAATAATGATCCATTTGTACCGGTAAATAATAGTAAAATTTTAGGAGTAAAATCTCCAAACATAAAACTTACAAGCATTCTCTATGATATTGAGGGTTCAATAAAAACAGAGAAAATGGTATATTCCCTGTACATAACTGATTACATGATTCAAAAATTAAATGCCGTTTTTCCTAAAACTGTGCAATTAAATATTGTAGATCATAAGATATTAGTCAAATCTGACCATCATTTTCAATTCGATAAAAAATTGTGTGATTCTTTAGGTGTTGAATATATTACAGAATTTATAGTAAAAGGATTCTCTCCAATTGTGGTATTGAAGTTCATTGTGATATAGTGGAAAAATCATTCTCCTCTATCAATGATACCCACCATATAGAGGAAGAGCTTTTATTCCTGTTTTTTATTTGACCCGAATAAATTATTTGTAAAACCAGAGAAAATATTGTACGTTCCTGTAAGCCCAAAAAATAATAAAAACTATAAACATCAGTATTTTCGACCATGACGGAAACGAATTTCTTCAATTCAATGACCCAATTTTTTATCTCGATTTAATAGACCAGCACCTCTAGAAAAAAAAAGTTAACGTAAACTGAACGTATACATTTTTCAAATTTAAAAAGAAATTGAATTTTTTTTTTTAAAAAAATATAAAAAATTGTATTATAAATGGAAAACTACATTAGCATTTTAAATTCAAACACAAAAAACATCCCATTAAGAGACTTGGAACTCGAAAAAAAATATACAGTAACAAGTTTTGAAATTGCTAAGACAATGTATGGTCCAAAATTATGGGTTACTTTAGATAGCAATTTAAGAATAATTTTACCAGACCACTTTGCTAATAAATTTACAGAAAAAGATCTTAAAGAAATGAACTCGATTCCGGTAAAGTATACCTTAATTTATAAAGATCTGGAAGAATTGAGTAATGGTTACTAAAAACATTTAATCATTTTTGAATAAGATATTCCCAGTTTATATTCGTCATGTTTTTGTATTGAATGAAGGACTTCTGAATTCTTTACTCATAAACCAAGGATTTTATCTTGATATTTCATGTGAGGGCAATTTACCCGTTCATATCTTTTAAATATTCCAAGAATATTTAAAAACTCTGTATTAAACATGAAAAAAATATATTTTCAAGTTTTATCATTTTGAAACCGAAACACCAAATAAAGGTGATTCTATACTTCCTGATCCTATTCGGTGTTCAATTGTGGGAGGGTCTGGTTCGACTAAGGCCACGCTTATAAGGAACATTATCACAAAGTATTGGGTTGATTACCAACATCTATATGTATTTACAAAAAATCTTGAACAACTCGTGTATAAAATTTTGACACAAATATTTAATATTCATTTTAAGACTGATTCACATTTCTCTGATCAAGATATAGTACCTGTCAATGAATGCCAAACAAATAGCCTAATTGTTTTTGATGATTGGAATTTAAAAAATATCAATCATTAGTAAAGGAATATTTTGTCAGAGGAAGACATAAAAATATTTCTTGTATTGATTAAACTCATTGTTTTAGTTCGGGCGATTTAAAATTGATACGAAATAATTTAAATTTTTTGTTTATTTTTAAACAACAAAAACACTACGTGGGTAAAATTTGGGAAAGTTTTTATTATTCAACCCTATCTAAAAATAAATTTGAAAAAATGTTGTGCACTTTCTTGAAGAAAAACATGAATACATTTATCTGGATGTTATTGATAATCATATATACAATAAACTAGAGAAAAAAACTGTGTTAAAGTTTTCGTTCACGTTGGACGATGGACATTCACGTTCACGTTTGGGTTGGACATTGATCGTTTGTAATATAATTTTAGATATATTTTTAAAAAATATATCTACTATAAATAAATGACAGTGATATTGAAATAATTCAGAATAATATTTTAAAAAAAAATGAGGTAAGGAAGAGACCTTCAAGATAGCGTACTGTTTAGACAAAATACTTTAAACAATGATAA